ATCTCGAAGTGTTAGGCATGACTCCATTAGCACTTAGCTTTTGTACACACCTTTCACTTCCACTGCAGCCTTCTCACTGTAATCACCAAAATGACCCACACTCTTCTTGTGTTCATAAAAACTGGAAAATGTAAATAATACATCTGTCAACGTGTAGTGCATCTCTGTTCCAACTTTATCCTGCTGAATTCCCTAACAAAGACGTCTTGAGCATGATCTGCATATGTTCCTTATGGCCCCCTTAAATTTTTCTCTTGTCTGGCAACTTGTGCAGTGTCCTTTCCTCTTAGATTTTTCAGAAAAAGCTCAATCTTGAAGAAGGTTAACTATCCCTAACCTGGAAATCAAAAATCCAAAAATTCTTGAAAATCCAAAACTTTTTGAGGACTGACATGATGTTCCAAATGGAAAATGGTTTCATTTGCAAAATTATTTAATATATTATATCAATTTACATTCAAGCTGTGTGTATAAAGTATATGCAAAACATAAACAAATTTCAGGTTTAGACTGGGGTCCCACCTCAAATGTATTTCATTATGTATAGTCATGAATTGCTTAACCTTGTCAAGGACACCTTCTGAGAAATGAATTGTTAGGTAACTTACTGGTTGTGCAAGCATCATTAAGTGTGTGTCCCCCAAAATAAGATGGCTATGGTGTAAGTAGGCAATATAATTGTACAGCATTGTGGTCCTATATGGTGCTCATCATTGACTGAAATGTCACATGGTCGTATATGCAAATATTCCAGAATCAAAAAAAAACAAACAAAAAACCATAAAATCTTGAAACACTTCAAATCCCAGACCTTTCAGAGAAGGATATTCATCCTGTCTTGTATCTTTTTGTTGTCTTAAGACATTGAGTGTGAAATGGTATCACAAGGAAAAACTTCTTGGGCCAACTTATGCACACAATGGTTGCAAAATGTTTGGTGTAGGCATTGACTTCTCACCAGTCTTCACAAACAGAAAAAGGACAAATACAGTGCTGACAGGTTTTCTGCAGTCTCAGTTCCAAAAGAAGGGTTGTGTGTGTGACTATGGGGTCACCCCTTTCCTAGCAAGAAAATAGGCTTCAGCAGAAGGCCATCTCATCTGGTGCTACATTCTGTTGCTATAATGAAATACCTGAGGCTGAGGACATTATAAAGAAAGAGGTTTATTTATTTGGAGGCTGAAAGTCCTAGATCAGGTGACCCCATTTACTTGACCAATGACAACAGCCTTTGGTCAACATGACAACATTGAGAGATGGCATCACGGTAAGAGCATGTAGAAGAAAGACATCACATGACAAGACAAGAAGCAAGAGAGACTTGGGAGCCAGGGCTGCTTTTTCTATAACAACCTTTTCTGGGGTCCTGTAAGGAATACATTTATCCCTTTGAAAGCAGTACCTCCAGTGATTTAAGCATCCTCTACTAAGTCCCTCCTCTTAAAGGTTCCACAACCTTGACACCAAATTTCCAGCATAGGAACATTTGGAGGACACATCCAAATCGTATCCAGATCAGAGAAATCACCCAACTTCCTTCAAACACATTGACCAAAACTTTGGCTAATTCTAGGGCTGTAGCCCCTGATGAAGAAACCACTGTCCTCTTGGCTGGAAGGGTTCATAACTGATGATGATATATCATACCTGTGGCAATGGCTTTCCCTAGAAGGGGTTTTGTGCTCAGAACCTAGAAACATGCTAGGAAACTAAGGGGCACTAAAGAATTAGTGGCTGAAGAATAAAACATATATGGTAATTTTTCTCCCAATTTAGTCAAACTTTTAAAAAATATGATGGACAGTGTGCTTTCTATTTGAAAGGGCCATGAACTCATAAATACACTGTACACAAAGCAACAATGGAACCATGAAGGCAGATTGTAGAGTTCGAGTCATTTTAGTTGGAGGACATTCTTAGCAGTGGTTACAATGAGTAACTTTGTGGACATCTTGACCTCACACGGCCTCAAGCTGAACACTCACCTCCCCCTGGCTCCCCTGTGTTGCCAAATCCAAAGAGTGTATGCTGAACCTCAGAGGGTCCCTCACCCACCTGGTCGGCCACAGTCCTCTTTGTGCTCAAGCCTTGCGGAAGTCCCCTACAGCTGTGACCTCTCCAGAAAATTCTACCGTCCCTCATAACTATCTTGTTCAACAATTTCATTTTGTCCTGTCTCTGTTTTTTATTTTGTTCCATTTCCATAGAAACATGGAACTAGAAGATACTTTAGGGATTATCTAGCTCAGTACTCACATCTTACAGATGAGAAAACTGAGGCCCAGAGAGATTAAGTTACATTTTGTTTTCAATGAGCCATGGAAAAAAGGAATGGACCCTCAAACGGGATCTGGCTCCTGTCAGAGAGCTGGCTGTGTTTCCAGGACTTGACGTCAATGGAGTTTCGCAGGGTGGCAGACGACTCTTGCACCAGCAGAGCACCTCAGACAGGCTTCCGGTAGCACAGGTCATTGTGAAAGGCTCTTGTTCCCTTAGGAATAGGCTGACTCTGCCTCTGACCCTTTCAGCTTCTGAGCATAGTTTGACCAAATATGCTCCTTCCCAGCTTCCTGGCAAACTTAATGTCATCCAGAGGTCCTCCCTGTAGCTGAATCTGATTGGTCCACCTTGCTGCCTCTGTCTAATGCTGTTCTCCTTGCCATGGAATTACCTGCTGATCCTGAAGCAGGGCACCCGTGGTGCTCCTCCTAAGTGTCTTTTGAGGCCACCCGGGACCAATGAGCAGGGGTGCATAGCTGATTTCATTCGTATCCCTCCCCATGGGGACTGTGGCATGTCCCCTTCACACCTGCACATAGTGCCTGCCAAGAGATGACTCACAGAGGAGGCCATGTGCAGATCTCTGGGCTGATGAGAACAAGGCTCTCAGACTGTTCCTGCTGGACATCTGCAGCCCAGGGCTTCTTTTTACAGGGAACAAAGTGAGACAAACTCAAGTGGCCTTAAGATAATGAAATGATAGCACAGAATGTTAACTAAGAAGTAGTCTACCTAAGAGTCCAATGTGTATCAGATCTATGATCCAACCAAGTCAACTTGGGCAACTATTAAAAATTCAGGTGCCTGGGCTTTCCTTATATGGATTATAATTTTTTTGGGGTGCATAACAGAGCCCAGAAAAGTGACTTTCTTATAAGCTCCAGTGATTCTAATTTGGAACCTTGCACACAGGTATTCACTTCCCAGTGCTGCAAATAAAGAAGCTGAAGACTGGGCCACAGATTCCACCACCTTCTGGGGCTCCCTGCAAGTGAGTTAGGCTGTAGATGCCAACCATGCAGAGAGCAGCTGTTGACTGATCCTGCATCCCAAGATGGCCTAGTTCTCTTTCTGTTTCTGGGATTTTCCTCTGTGTTTCTCACCTTGGTTTTGTAAGAGGTAGGCTGTTCTTCAAGAAGAGCACTGTTATGGTTTGTGTCTGGGTGTCCCCCAAAGCCTCATGCAGTCATGGGGTAGGCTTTTAGAGTTCATGATTGATCCATGATCCAATGCTGGGATTATGGGTGTGAGTGCTACACCAACCCTGGGACAGATAGTTTGCATATGTAAGAGGGAGAAAGAGGCTGCCCCCCTGTCATTCCTCCCTTTTGCTCTTGTTGCTTTGCTGTTCTGCCACCATGAACTGTTGCCCTCTGCCATGTGCCACTCAGCCTTGGAGCCAGCCAAGTATGGACTGAAACCTCCACAAACCATGAACTAGATAAATGTTTCCTTTCTTAATTTTGCGCATTAGGCATTTTGTCCCAGCAATGAGAGGAAAGTAACTGAGACAAGCACCTAAAGAAAAAGGAAGATACAACAGCACAAGGAAGAGCAGCGCAGAGAGGGAAGGCATGAACAGCGAAGACAGTACGCTGTTCCCCAACTTTGCCAAATGTCCTTATGAGCCAAAGCATCCAGCTGATTTGTGTTGAAAACAGCCATCAGCCATCTGCCACCCTACTGAATGTGTAGTCACTCACCCGCCTGATAAAACAACACAAGCATCCATCCCAGTTATTTCTTTACCACTCCCGTCCTCCCCCTCCAGCCTCCTCCTCCCCTCTCCTACCTTATTTTACTCCCTTATGCATGATGTGAGAAACCAGGATGGAAATAGAAATTAATCCAAAGTTGCATTTTTAATCAGGGTAAAACTCATTTGGCTTACAGTTTTTACAGTTTTTCAGTGTGACATTGTACGAGCGCCAGTATGGCCTGATGTCAGGTAGATCCTAAAATACACAGGAGCCATGGAGCAGCAGGCTCTGCCTCCTGGGCCTCAGCTGCATTTCCTACTTTCAAAGGGATACAGGGATTAAATGTTACACACACAGAGTGTGACCAGGGGAGGCATTAGCAGTTTTCTAGTGGAAATGCCTTTTAAAGTTATTTTATCTTTCAAAGTTCCTCTTTAAAATTGAAATAACTATTTGACTCTTTTGAGCCTGGTGTGCAACTTCAAATGATTTCCCCTTGCAATTTCCTTAGTGCATGCCAAGATCTCACAGATGAGAGGATGTTTTATAACTTGAGTGTAAGTTTTGTTCCACTAACATACATTAATCACCAAATGCCAGAAGAGGCAGATAGATGAGATGAAACAACCAGCATAAATTACATTTTAAGACACGCAGATAAGAGCAAAGTCAACATTTCCACGTACCACCTCCAATCCCTTTTGGAATTAGATGGTAGTATAAATCTCAAGTTATAAATAAATAAGACATTTCTACACTGTGTTATACCAAGATCATAAAATACAGACCATTTTTCTCCCTCAAAGTGTGCCCATATTTGAACCAGAAGTAGCAACAGTTCGAAAAACAGGAAAATTTGTTAAACGAAAGTGAATTTGAACCAGCAGTTTAACATCACTAACTACAAGTAGTCATCACATAGAGTAGTTAGTTAAGAAACCAAATCACATTATCATGAAAATGTTCTTTTCCTGGAAGAGGACAAAAGAGTCTATTCCAGTTTGTTGGATAATAGTTCACACATGGATTTACTTAAAATGTTCAATTTACAGGAATATTAGTCCTATAAGAGCCCCACATGCATGTGTATCTGTGAATCATTCAAAATCAGGCCTCCCATGTGCCTGGAGGCCATCTGAACTGTGCTGCTGTTGAGGTGGGGTCCACTGCACAGAAGATCGCTGGAAGATGCTAAGTGAATGCTGAAGATATGAAAATCAACATAGTAACATATCTGCAAATACAAGACAGAAACATATAAGGCATCCATAGGTATATGATATTTCTAAATTTTATGAAGAACTTTTGGGGTGGAATTAAATGTTCTTTATCATACTTAGTCATTGAAGGTGTTTTTATTGTGGTTTTGTAGAATTATTATAGAATAAAAATGTGGTATACATTTATTAAAACTATTATAAAAATAAAAATCTATAGATGCAACAACATTCCCACAATTCTGGGCAGAAAATAAAACCATGTGGCTGAAACGAAACTTATTCACATGAATAAACATAAACTGTAACAAATTCACTGATGAATGAAACCCTACTTCTTTCATGTGATACCGTAAATGTAAATAACAACTTTGTTGTTTTTTTTTAATTCTAGTACCTGAAAAGCCAGCCATCATATAAAATATATGTGAATGGATTCTTATTTAGTCATCTGGACAGAGTAAATATATCCGTAATAGAGGAAAAAGACAAGTAACAAGATACAATAAATCTGAAATGAATTCATAGCTATCCAACTGAAGTACATAGAAGTGATAATTAATAAGATGCTTTAAAATAATAAATGTGAAAGAATTCCAATATCATGTTTCTGCAAGGCCAAGTATTTCCCTGAGTAGCAATAAGAAACAAGAGAAACGTGAATTCTAACAGTGCTGTACTGAATCGATATTTGCTGTAATGACTCTATCAGTGTCAAGGAGCAGTTTCTGCTAAAGCAAGTATTATATTTATGATGTTGGTGAAATAATCCCAGATCTATTGTTTATCAGCTATGTGGCTGGGGTTGACTTGTGGTTGAAACAAACAAGCAGCAAACAACTCCCATGGATGCCTGGCTCGGCCACAAACACAGCAGTACCACTATTGTCCGGCTGTCCAACAGCCTCCGCTCTTTGGGGGCCTGGCCCGACCATTGTAATAGGTGCCCACTGGATGTAGGGCAAGCTTTTTATATTTGGGGTGGAGCAAGACAATGATATATGTCATCATGTCACCGGCTAGTGTGGGTCCTTGTCTTAGTGATAATGGTGACTAAAGCTGAAAGAATGATATGAATCTGCATAAAAATCCTCAATTGGAAGGTAAGAAAGACAAGGAATGGACTCCAGCGTGAGGGGAGCTGGAGGGAACACACCCCGATGGAGAGGGTCAGTCAGGCTAACCCATTCACTAAAGCAGGAGGCTGGCTTTTAAAGGATTCACTAAGGTGGGTCAGGCTCTAGCTGATCCTTCTTTCAGTCCTCCTTTTATAGCTCCGGAGGGATCCTCGTGGTTGGAGGCATTCGTTCAGTTCTCTGTGGCAGTTTCAGTCCCCAAGGCTCTGCTTTTTCTGCAACCAAGGTGATGGCAACTTTAGAACAATGGCTGGGGACCAGGGGTGGGGGATATCTGGAATCAGATACTGTAAAAGCGGGTAATCAGATTTCCCTGTGAATGCTAAAAATTACTTGCTCTTGTCTTGGTGTCCTCCATCTTGAAGGAGGATGAAATAGGCTAGGTAAGTATACGACTCATAAGCTTTGTTCTACTAAGTTTTCCTAAATGATTAACATGCCTCTATCCCACGTGTGCTAATAAAGGGTGCAAAAATGAATGCCAAGCTTTGTTCTGTTTTTAGTTATCTATTGGGAACCTGTAGGTCTAAGCAAAGAGTCATAGGTTTTGGCAAAAACTTCTAGTCTAAGTCCTTGTCTGCCTCAGAAGAAAACACAAATCAAGATTGTAATCTTGGATTAAAGAGCCAGGAGTTTGTTCTTTGTCCCAATAGTTGTCTCTGACTGCATCAGTTAGGTAACAAATCTAGTGCATTTAAAGAACTATAGCATGGTTGATATATTAAGGATGTATTTGTCAGTCATTTTAATTTCCTCCTTAACAAAAAGTCTTCAATACCCAGGGACCAGGAAGCCAAATACCTGAAGATTGTCCTAACACATTATAAGTGGTTGATTTGCTAACCAGGTGGAAAAGAGGATCTTGATTGGCTGCTGTGTGGGGGCAGTTTTTTACCCCTTGCAGAAGAGACTAGGAAGAGGCACTAGACATTAGAGAAAAGAGTGATATTAGAGAGAAGGACTGGCCTTGCCTACAAGGAGACTGTGGTCCAGGATGTGAACAACAACACCTTAAACAGCGCTTACAGGTAAAAGGACGTAGTGGCAGTAATTAGAAAGAGTGCTTTAATCAGGTCATTAATGTTCTGAGAGGCAACTTTGTTAAACTCCTCAGGAATTTGCTTTTGCTGTTGTAGCCTCAGGTCACCTATTCAAAAAAGATGTAGATGTCTCTCATGCAAATTAAACATCAGGAAATTTCCAAAGCAGTAATTAAAATTTTTTTCAAAAAACACATTACTGAGCCACTATTTTATTTATACTCTTTCAGCCTACAATCTAATGAAATCTGCTTCTAATATCTGATTGCATTTGGTAGCTACAAATGGAGCGCAAGGAACAATTTAAACACTGCAAAGTGAGTAATGACAGATATTTATTTCCCCAGAATAACAGTAGGCTGATACAGTATCTTCCCTTTAGTCTATGTCCTGTACTCTGAATAACTACTTCAAAGATAATGCTACACAGTTATTAACTATTGTTATTCTCTCATTATTTTGTTATGAATTTTATTTTTTGATAAAATTAAAAAGGCAAATTACATTTTAAAGTTGTATTAACCTTGACTTATCTGAGTAAACAAGGTCATCTAGAAACTGTCATTTCCTAGGCACTCAGAATCCTGCAATACTTTAAATATAACATTGTATTGACTGCTGTGGATTATATGCAAATATTATTTCCTTTTTAAAATTATCTTTTCTCTTTCACCTTTTTTATTTATCCATATATTACAGGCAGCTAAGTTAGACAGAAATTAATACACAGTCAGAGAGGAACTGGGGTCTTAAGGAAGTCGCTGAAAAATAAAGACATCAGAATTGTGGCTGGGGACCTCTCGGAAGAAGGCCATGCTGCAAGGTGAAGGTGCCATGGCTAGGCCTACCTGCCTCCCTAAGGGACAAACAGTGATACAGTGGTGCCTCGGTTCACCACCTCAATTCTCCTCATGATTCTGGTCACGAACCAAACTGGACGAGAACTAAATCAAATTTCCCCTAAGCTCAGTGTTGAAACTAGCCATTGACTTTGATTCAGTTCTCTTCCAGCTCAGTATGCAACCAGAATTGTGGAATTGAGTTCATGAACTAAGGCACCACTGAATACTGTAACTGGCACCACCTGGTCCAGGAACTCCAGATAAACGTTGGTCACCCAAGCGAGTGACCAGAGCATCGGGACTTACCTTTTCCAAAAATCCCTTTGTTCTTTCCTTGTACCCTTGCTACGTGACCCACTTCCCTATTGGATCAATATTAGCTAGGCAGCTATACTTGTAATCTTATAGGTTGATTGTAGTTTGACCCACATTGTACACACATTGCAACTTTGCGATATAAATTACCCCTGACAAAGGACCTTGGTGGCAACCCATTTTGGGGACCCCTCTTGTCTCTCAGGAGCTATTTCTCAATAAATCTTTCCTACTCTTAATCTCTATTGTCCCTTGGAATTCATTCTTCAGTTTCACAGGACACGAACTCTGCACATCTGACATGCAGCAGGTTGGGACTTATATTCCTCCTATACCATGTACACTCTGAAGGCACATTTTGATGCACGGACAAGTTAGTTTTTCAACTCAGTATAAATCCCTTTCATCTTTTTCTTTAAAGCACAGAGACTTTTCCTTTATAAAATCTTTGATGAGTACATGTCTACAGTACATGTTTGCACTCCTTGAATGGGGCTGGTATATAACACATCTTAATGCCATTTTTCATCCACTTCCATCCTCTCCCCTCTTCCATCTTTTGATCCTCTTCCCCTGTGAGAAAGACCTACATCCACACTTCCTATTATCTATCTTTTATTTGATTTCTAATTTGGGTTTCTCATATAAGAGAAGCCATGCAATATTCAAGCTTATGTATCTGGTTTATTTCACTTAACATTATGATCTCAAGGTCCATCCATTTTCCAACAAATGACTCAAATTTATTTTCTCTTCATGACAGAATAGTACTACATTGCATGTAAGTGCCACATTTTCTTTATCCATTCATCTGTTGAGAGGTATTAAGCCTTAGCTTTTAGGAATTGTGCACAGAATACTACTAAGAATCATATATGAGCTACTGAACCACATCATGAGTTAACATCCAGACAGACTATGGGATGCAGAAATAAGTGCATTCAGAGACATTGTCTTTTCTTTCTGAACACTCAGCTTGGTCAGGTACAGAATGCAAACATCTTCTTCAGGCTCCTATAGCTGTGATTATATGAACAATTCCTACAGTGTTATACACATGTAAACAAAGTGCTATGGAATTAATTTTTAGAGAGTACATAAAAATATCTATCATAGAATGCTTTTAGCAAATTTCAAACAACACTGAAAGACATACACTGCCTGCTCCTTGAGCCGTGAAGCCAGCATGTTCATCTCACTGACAATCAAGAGTTCTGCCTCGATATTCCTGGAGCTCCAAGTGGTCACTGGGCACTCACCACTTCTTGGCAAGAACAGAACATTGCCAGGAAGGTACCAAGACAATCTGTATAAATCAGCACAGAGGAATTTGAGAGGGTGCACGAAGCACTCAGTGAAACACCTGTCTCTAGGTGACAAGCTCTGTAGTTGGCATGTGCTGCCAGCCACAGCCAAAATGTAATCAGGCAAGAGTCAGTTCTAGCATGTCCTGTGCCCTGCAGCCCTCTGCATTCTCTGTGTCCTCCTTCAGTATTCTGCTGTCAGAAATTTTGAACTCAGTGAGGTTGCGGTAGCCTTAATCAAATATTATGAATAAAACTATTGGTCCAGCTCAAAACATGCTTTAAGAAAGAAGTACTAAATAGTGGTTTGGATACAGAAACAAATTTAACTATCTACATTCACACCAAAATCTTCCCATGGAAGGCTGCCTGAAGGTAAA